TCCCAAACTGCTGGCGTTACAGATGTGCACCACCATGCTTGGTGCTGGCTTCTTTCTTGATCCACAGCAGCAACTGAGGGTAATGTTTGGGGAAGGAGCTCTTTGGCCATTTGTAAAGCATGCAGATGAAACGTGACCTTCAGGTAGCCATCCCAGAGGTAGTACAGAGCTCCATGAACCATTCGGGGTTTATAAGCTTCATGGGGTGGGCAAAGAGCAGACATGATAAGGATGGCCGCATGCCCAAATCAATGGCACTCACTCAACAGCAGGGACAACCAAGGCCCAGAGAAGGAAAGTAATTTAGCTGACATAACTCAGCACATCCAGGTGGACCTCCTGAGTCAGAGTCCTGGCTTTCTCTCTCTTTGTTAATTGTTTTAAAGTGTTTTTGATATATGACTCATGTACTTGGCCATTTGCCCTTTTAAATTGGGCAGTATGATGGCTTCCAGTAGAGTGGTATATCCAGCACGATTTAGAACGTTTTCATTATCCCCTAAGGAAACTTCATCCCCCTTATTTGTTACCCTCATCTCCCCCAAACTTCCATTGTTCAAGGCCCACGCAGCCACCCATGTACTTCCTGCCTCCATAGATTTGCCTGTCTTGGACACTTCATGTAAATGAAGTCACATATTGCATGGCCTTTTGTTTCTGGCTTCTTTTGCTTAGCATAATGTTTTTGGGTTTCATCCAAAAACATTTCATCGGGACTCTATTCCTTTTTGTTGCTGAGTAATATTCCATTATATGGATATACCATTTTTATTTCTCCATTGGTTAGTTGATGGACATTTAGGTTGCTTCCATTTTTGTCTACTATGAATGATGCTTCTGTGAACAGTCACAAACAACTTTTTGTGTGGACATATATTCTCATTTCTCTTGGATGTACACCTAGAAGCAGAATTGCTAGACCATAGGGAAATTCTATATTTATGGTTCCAGCCTTCTAAGACTGACTTTCTCAGACCTTGGGGGGTACTGATGGGGAAGGAGGGAGTGAGAGACAGCCTGTTTCAGTTTCCAGGGTCTGAGGCACAAGCCCACCCTTCCCCTCTCTTCATTTGTCGGATTCCAGGCTCTGCTGTGCCATAGGCTTTCTGGGGACCTGAGTGAGCATTTTACACCTCTGAGTCAGCTTCCCAGGGGAAACAGGGTGGTGACTTCTAACCCCGGGGCTTAGTGCTGCTGTCCATGGCTGTCACATGGATAGACTTAGGAAGAGGCAGTCTTTGGTGCCCACCTCTTTGCTCCAACATTCGGTCCCACGTTCTCCAGGTTGGATGTACCAGCTTGTTTTCACTACTTCTGCTTTGGATGGGATATTTCTTTTCCTTCTTGAAACAGAACATAGGGCGTCCTGTACTTTTGGGCCCGTGTGTCTGCCCAAGTTTCTCAGGAAGGAGGCAGGCAACCTACAAGGACGTTCTGACCTGCCTCAGTGTTACCAAGGAAAAACCTAAATAAACTGATGTTTTGCTGTGGGTGAGGCCTCTGATGGAAGCCATGGAACAGGCTAAAACTATTCAAAACTGTTCTCAGAGAGTTATCTCCTGTCCTGGGGGAAAGTGTTATCTTCCTGTCTCCCGAGGGAAAAGTGGCTTTTTACTATGTTGCCTTGTTCTCCGTGAAGAGATGCCTTTTGTAAGCTAACCATACCTGGAGAAAGAACTAACAAAACATGAGTCATAAGACTAGGTAACATTTCTTTAGAGTTCCAGAACCCAGATGCCCAGTGACCTGCAGACCACAGCATCCGTGCATCAGAAAAGCAGACACCCAGAGATGTATGAGATGGGCACCTCCCTGGTGGGACCATCTGGCTGCCCCCACCCCGCCCCTATGGCAGCCTTGTGCTGCAGGATGGTCTGCTGGTGACACCTCCATCATCCTCGCTTCACTGGCTTCCTAAATAAATCTTTTTCCTCCCCAGCCACTTGGCCTAAGTCACTGGCTTTTTTTGGGTGGCGAGCAGTGAATGTGGGTTGGCAGTTACACCAGCCCCAGGGTACACGTGCTTCTAGGGGGCCCTGGCTCAGTCCCATCCTCGGGTCTCTCTCTTGGGTCCCATCCATGCTCTGTTATCCATGTGTTGCTGGGGCTGGAGGTGCAGGGGGAGCTGCCAGCCCCCTCAGTACACAGGAGCAGCTGGAGAGGGGAGCAGCCTGTAGAGGTGGAGTTGGACCCAGTTGAACCCTTCACACCATGAGAGCTGCCAGGGCTGGCATGAATGGGAATGGGAGAGGGTGGGGAGAGGGTCGGGAGGACCCGGGGCTTCTCTGGGCCAGACGTGCTCTGGGGAGGGCAGGCTGACTGGATCAAATCCCAGCTCTGCAACCTACCAGCTATGTGATTTGGGGCAAATTGCTTAGCCTAACTGTCCCTATGTTCCTTATCTCCAAATCCCAGAGAAAGGCTTGAGAGGAGGCCATACTAGTGTATCTAGAACTTTCTGCTTTGCCCAGGCAAGAATCCCCAAATGAGCTGCTTATGTGTCTGTTCCACAGGCACATAAACTCTTGGGGTTCTGGGCAGGCAGTGGCTAGGTTTTGAACTACAAGGAGCAAGCCCTGAAATAAAGGAGTTTATGTTTCACATCCACACAAGGCTTGGGGGCTGGGGCAGTAGAGAGGCCTCCCTGTGTCCTTCTTCCTAGGGGCAGCAGCAGGCCTGGGAGCCTTAGTTCCCTCAGTGGCCCCCTGCTGGGGTGTGCCCTACACTTGCCCTCTGAGTGCTCCAAAACAGAGGCAGGCCCACACACGGTGTGCCCAGCCCATGCTGCCAAGAACTGCAAAGGCTTTCTAGGACATGCTGTAGGGATCCTGAGGTCAAAGCACTTGACTGCAGTCCCGGAAGGCTTCACAGAGGAGGCCTTCCTGCAGCAGGGTTTTTGAAGGCTGGGTAAGAGTTCTCTAGGTGGAGAAGATGGTAGGGAGGTTTCAGCAGAGGCAATGGCAGTAGGGGCTGGCTACTCCGCCCTGGTTTTGACTGGCCAGTTCTGGTTTCCAGGAGGCTGACGGGTGGAAAATGACATTTCCCAGGGTCCCTTGCCTGCTGGTTTCTTGAGGACAGGGAGGCCACAGCCAGCTTCTGCAGTCTGTAGGGTTTCCTTGCAGCCATGCTGTTTCCAGAGCTGCAGTGGTGGGGCCTCCAGCAGCGAGGTGGCAAGTGTCGCCATGAACTCCGCAGCTGCTTCCAGATCTCTGGGTCTCAGTGTCTCCAACAGCGCTTTCTCCCTCTGGGTGCCCTTGGAGCCCATGTCTCTTAAGAGCTAAAAAAAAAAAAAAGTAGGGTTCCTGCTTTCCAGTTGGTCACCGTCTCCTTCAGCACGAGGGCCTCGCGGGTGGGATGCTTCTCCACCACCTCGTCTACCTACCTCAGTTTCCCTCAGGGGTGGGGATGAGCTAACTCACCAATCACTCCAGACCTGCGCCATCCCACACGGCGACACCAGCCACCGAGATGGCTGTCACGCACGGCATCACGTACGCAGTGTTTCAAAAACTCAGGTGAAAATAAGACAGCAGAATACCTCACTGATGATTTCTGTACTGATTACAAGTTGAGACAACATTGTATTGGGACATATTGGGTTAAATAGAACGTTATTAAAACTTATTGCTTTTTATTCTCTTTAATATGGCTACTAGAAAATTTATTTTAATTTTTTCGTGGCCTTGTGCGTGCTAGCTCTCTCCCACTGAGCTATACCCAGGTCCTTTTGTCTTGAAGAGACAGCACTCACTATGTTGCCCACGCTTGTTCAAACTCCTGGGCTCAAGCGATCCTCCTGCCTTGGCTCCCTGAGTAGCTGGGACCAAAACCAGGCACCTTCATGCCCAGTTTTTAGAAAAATTTAAATGACTGTGTATGGCTTGCCTTTGTGGGTCAGTGTCCAATGTAGTTCTACTGGACACTGGGCTCGAAACACACTGTGTCACAAATTCAGCATTAATGTCTATTTAAGAGACATCTGCTCACTGCTTTTGAGGGCTTCAGATGGGGTGGGAAGGGAGCAGAGAGACCAGCATGGAACCAAAACTCAATGTGATAAGAGTTGGTCTGTTTCACAGGGCACTTGGGGCCTGAGGGAAAAAAATCCAGGAAGGCTTCAAAGAAGAGGTGACTTTGGTATTAAGCAGAGTAGGAGTTTGTCTAATAGGTAAGGATGAGGAAGAAGCAATGTATACATATATATGTATATGAAAGAATATGATTTTTTAGCAGGTCTCTTTGAGAGGATTATAGGGAGGCAGGAGAGGAAAAGAGAGTGACAGAGAGTGAATTATACTGAAAGACATTGCATCTGTGTATGAAGATAGCATAACGAAAGGCACTGAAAGCTGTTAAATCATGGGGAGCAGGGTGACAGAGAAAGAGGGATTAATCTGATTTAAGTACAGTATATACATGTGCAAAATACCAAGGTAAAACCCTCTTGAACAATCAATACTCACTTTAAAAAATGAAGAGCAGGAAGGTAAAACAGGTTCTGGTTGGGGGTGGGTACCAGTGGGATGGGGGAGGGTAAGTGGAGAGGGTGAAGGAGAGCAAATATGGTGGATGCACTTTGTGTAAGTATGAAAACAGGACAACAAGATCTATTGAAATTGTTCTGAGAAGGGGGGAGGGGGAGGAGGGAGAATGATGGAAGGGGAGAATCTAATTAAGATAGATTGTAAGCACGTATGTAAATGTCACAATGAATCCCTCCTGTACAACTAAAAATAAAAATATCAATTAAAAAAATAGCAAAGGAAGTAGACAAGCACCCTAGGTGTTTAGGAGATCCAGGAAGTTCCCTGTGGTCCAAACACGCTTGCTTGGTTGGAGGGGCTGCAGGTAGAGCTCTGCGTACCAGGAAAGTTTAAGCCAGGGGAGGGCAGAGGCTCAGGAGAGGCTCTTAGGTAGGAAATGTGGGTACAGGTGTGAGCGAGCCCACCCACTTTCCCCCCTTAAAACCTCACAAAGGACAGACGTGTGCGAATGTCAAAAGTAAATTCTTTAATTTCAGTGCTTGCTCCTCGTGGTTCAAAAGCACATAGCCTGCCTGCCTGCTGGAGCCCGCAGGCTTTGACACAGTGCGGACAGCTGGAGCTGCTGCTATAGGACAGATGTGCTGGCTCATTTGGTGATTCTTCTTTGTGCAAAGCAGAAACTTTTAAAGGTGTCAGCGTGACCTGGGACTTTGGGGCCCCTAGAGGCTGTAATCTCCAGCCTTTGGGAGGCCCCATCATGCAGAGAGAGTGGAGTGAACTTGAACTTAGCTGACCACTCCCAAGCTTGCTCAGGGGCAAGGGCTGTGTCCAGGATGCTGGTCTGTGAGGAGGGGCAGGTGGAGATCCTGACCTTGCTGTCAGCGGACAGCACAGGCAGCTAAGGCTCTTGTGATGACCAGGCACTGCGGTAGGCAGCTCGTGGGTAGGACAGGGCCACCGAGGGCTCTTCTCCCTAGAACTGGATCTGGAGGGAGGAAGCTGGGTGTAGTTGGGAAGCAGGACAGGGCTGGGGACAGGGCAGTGGTCACAGTCTCACTGTCAGAGACATCCAGGCCTGCAGCGGAAGCTGTGTGGCGCAGGGAGTGGACCCATGCTTGTTTTCAAGGCTGGGCCGTGTAGGGAATCAGAAATGCAGGGCTGAGGGGCCCAGGAGATGATGCTTTAATTGCTCTGCTGATTTGCGAGGAAATTGAGGTTCCGAATGCAGAAGATGGACTTGGGGCTTGAACCCAGGGCTTTAGCCACCAGCTCCCTACCCCCTCCTCTTTGCCCCAGTTGGGCCCTTTCAGATCAGTCCTGAAATGGCCTGTCTGACATTCTCAGGTCAGAGCTTGTGTCACAGAGCCCTGGAGTCTGTGACATTTCTGTGATGCCCATGCCCCATGAGAGCAGAGCGGCTGCCTCCCCATTCAGGGTTCAGCCTCCTCATGGAGGAGGTAGCACCTGCTCTGTGGCCTCCCGGGTCCTGTGACCCCATGAGGCACACAGCAGGTGCCTCACAGTGAGGAGGTGGGGGGAGGTTGTTGGGCCAGGGCTGCTGGGATCTGGAAGGGGCTTGAACTGGGCCTGTTCCCCATCACCTCCTGCTCCAGCTCTCCCGAGGGCCCCTGGAACCTGGGCGCAGTCAAGGAAGAGGCACAGGACAAACTGGGGCAGAGTTCATTGATCTAGCCAGTGGACACGCCATCCTTTTTGCCCACTCCCAGGGGCGCTGGAGTAGACAGGACAGTGTGGTGGGTCCTCATTGCTTCCCAAAGGCACCTGGGCTAGGTAAGGAGGTGTGGGACCCCTCTCTCCCAGCTCCAGTCGGCCAAGGTCAGGATTCCCACTGTGTTGGCACAGAACATTCCTCACAGCTAAGGCAGACAGGTAGAGAACTAGGCTCAGAGTGGCAAGATGGGCCAGAAATACATTCCATTCCAAAGAGCCCCCAGGCAGCCCACCCGCCCCAGGGGGCAGCTTTTGCTCATTATCATAGGATAACTAGGTCAGTTGAGGGCTCTCAGCAGGCTGAGGTGGGCTGGGTAAAGGGGTCCCTTAGGCGGGGCCGATGATGACATTCCGATAGCCCTTCACAGATTTCAGCTTGTCGCACTCGAAGTTCACCACCAGCTTGTGTAGACCCACATCAACGGGCATCAGGTCCACCCTCGCCTTGACTTCTTCCCCTGCCTCCACGGGGTCTGAACTGCAGAGAGAGGAGGGGGTGCTAGGCCTGGTCTCCTCAGAGGGCTCAGGCCAGCACATGAGGTGTGATGTGTGGGGACTTAGCACACCGCCTCCATGAACGTGTAGCTAATGCCAACCGTAACAGATGGGCCCCACTCACGGCCCTCGGCGGGGCCTGGACGATCTGCCCTCTTAGAGTGTAGTGTATGTATGTGCACACGTATGCTTGTGTGCATGCAAGTGTGTGAGTGCATGTGTGCACGTTATCCCTGTGTGCATGTGTGCTGTGTGCATCTGTGTATGTACACGTGTGCACGTATACCAGTGTGCACCTGTGTGTGCCTGTGTACGTGTGTGCGTTTCTGTAGATATGTACCTGTGTATGTGTGCGTGTGTGAATGTGTCTGTGTGTATGCGTGTGTGCTGGGAAGTGGGCGGTGTGCTCAGGGGAAACTGGGTGTGCTCAGGAGGCCACGTGAGTGACAATGCACTGATGTGCAAATCACATACATCATGATTTGTGCCTTTCTGTAAGTTACATTGCAGTAACAAGTCATTAGGAAGAGTGTGCAGATGCATATCCATGAGGACACACCCACACTGTGCGTGTTCAAGCATGCAGGCTGACACTCTGAGTGTGGACATCTGGGTTACATCTGGGACTGTGTCTAAGGTGGCACTTAGGGACCAAATGTGGCAGTGTTTCAGTGTGTGCAAACTTGGGCACCGACTGGCCGTGGCCAGTTGTGAGCATTGAGGGGTGTGAGGTGGGAGCTCTGCCTGGGCATGTGGAGACGAGGGGAGGTTAGGGCTGGCTGGCACCCGAGGGTGGCCCCTGCCCTTATGACACCTGTCCCTTCCTCAGGCTAAGGGCGGGGCCACCAGTACTTACACCTCCACGGACTGCTGCTTCTTTGTCAGGCCAGCCCCCTCCACGGTGAAGACACAGCCCAGAAGGGGCACAGGGAGTGGGTTACGCAGGGACACCTCAGCCACCAGCCTGCGGTTCTGCTTGGGCTCTCCCAGGACCTGTGGGAAGGTGTGGGCAGATGTCAGGGGCAGGTGGGGTCCAGGCTGGGCGCCCCTGTGCTCATCATCCGGGCTGAGTAAAGCCCAGTCCAGCCCTTCACCACCCACCCTGCCCTGTGACTATGCCTCAGTTTCCTCATCTGGAAAACCCAGGTGGGGATACCTGCCCAGGTCTCTTTCAGGGAGCTACATTAAGACTCCATGTGACCCTGAGGACAGAAGTACAAAGTGTCTCCCTTGTTCTGGGGTGTACGGTGAAAAGATCGCAGATGTTGGCTCACTCTCCATCGCTGTGGGATCCTGGGGAAGTTATGAGCGTCTCTGAGCCTCTATTTGTTCATGGGAGAGAACGAGTGGCTGAGGATTCCACGAGGATTAATGTGCCAAGACACAGAGCTCCGGAGTCCGCACTCACTCTCGCTGCCTCTCCCTCTGCTGACCGCCATTTATTCTCATTTATTCTCAACGACTGCATTTGGGGTTTGGGCTGCAGCTGCTCCAGGCGGATTGTTGTGACGGCGGTAAGCACGAGCAGCTGGGTTTGTGTGTGCGCGTGTGTGCGTGTGTCAGGGTCTTGCTGTGTTCTGGGTTGTGCGCATGGAACTCTCCGGCTCCTGCCTCTGCCTCGGGAGTGCTGGCTTTACAGGCGTGCACCGTCGTGCCCATCACGCGAGCTGTGTACCGGGGGCCTCCCGAAGATAAGCTTTACATCTGCCACCCCCGTGTGCTGGAATTAACCCCGTCTTACAGAGGACTGACCCGAAGCTCACGGGGTGAAGAAACATGCCAAGGGCCAGCCAGGCACAAACCCAGGAGCTCAGACCCGAGCCTGCGCCCTGCCCCCGCCCCGTGCTCCACCCTTCCAGCGTCACTCGCGCTCCTGAGCCGCTCCTCCAGCCCCCGGAGCTCAGCATTTTAAGGATTAGGGTTCTCGAATTCCTAAATGCCATGACCGGCTACTCTGGGAATCTAGGGGTCGTTCCTAGAGGCCAGGAGCCCCAAATCTGGCTTTAAGATGCTTTTCTTCAGTGAGCCCAGGACTTAAGGACCCCTGAGGTCTCAAGGTTGCAGGGACACAGGTGTATGCCTCCCCGCTTCCTGGGACCCAGCCTGCCCCTCACCCGGATCTTGATTTCCGGATTCTCCAGGTAAAGGTCCCGCTCAGCCAGCAGGTAGCTGTTGGCAGCCGGCTCCATGAGGAGGCCCCGCACCTTTATGAGGTTCGACTCAGTCAGGTAGCTGCTGTACCTCTCATAGAGGATTCGAAGGGGAATGCTGTTCTCTGCAGGAGGGGAGAGGGAGGGTGCTCTGAGGGCTGGATCCTTGCTGCCCCCTCTCTCCTGGAGGCACAGAGAGGGAGAGGGAACATGCTTAAAGTCACAGCACAAGCTCTGCATGCCCTCCAGGTCCCCCAGGGAGGAGCAAGAGAGGGAGGCAGAGCAGCAGGTGGGGAAGTGCTCCAGCAACCCCAGGCCTGAGTTTTAGTCCCACCTCTGGCCCATCTAACTGGTGACCTGGACAAGTCTCCCCACCTCCCAGGACCTAGTTTTAGCACCTGGGCAGTAAGAGTGCTCAGAAGACTAGGTGGGGTCAGCTGGGCAGGGCAGGGAGGTGCCTGGCACTGCCTGCTGGGCACCGTGCTTCTCACAACACCTCCCCCAGCATCTTCATGTGCTTGTATCAGCCCCCAGCTGCCAAGCGAGGAAACTGAGGCTCAGGCAGCTGAACTAACATTGCCACAGGTCACACAGCTGGGCTGGTCATTCAGAACTCGAGTCTCCAGCGTCCCCAGTGCCCCTGAGGTGAACTTCCTTCCCACGGCCCAGATCGCATGGCTTTATAGGTGAAGAGCCGCCACCGCTGCGGGAAGCGCTGAGCCCAGGGGAGCTGCTACTTCCTGGCCTTGTTCATGCACTGACTTGACTGTGTGACCAAAGCCACTCAGGGATGAGAAGGTAGGACAGGACCAACTCCTCCCAGTGCAGAACAGCAAGGTGTGACCTGAGGGCACTGGGGCTGTGTTTGCGGGAGGTGGGAAGGAACAAGGAAAGGCACACAGAGCTAAGAGACTCCAAGGGCTGTGCTGGCAACTTGTCCCCTCACTCGGCGCCCTCCCTCGGGCAAGTCCCTCTTGCTTGTGGGGCCCTCTGTCAAACAGAACCTCTGCAGGGACACTCTCTGGGCTCCCTGGTGCCCAACCAACCTCTCCTTGTCATTGTCCCTGCAGGCAGGAGCCAATGCCACAGCAGGAGGGATGTGCTACCTCTTTCACCACCTTTTGTCCCTCCCCTCACTAGACCAGCACTTACACACCCGGTCATGAGTTGTTTTTTTTTTTTTTTTTTCCGTGGGACTGGGATTTGAATTCAGGGCTTTGCACTTGCCAAGCAGGCAATCTACTGCTTGAGTCACAGCTCCAGTCATTTTGCTCTGTTATTTTTTGTTTGTTTTTGTTTTTGAGGTGGGATCTTGAGAACTATTTGCCCAGGCTGGCCTCAAACTGCAATCCTCCCGATCTCAGCCTCCCAATTAGCTAGGATTACAGGTGTGAGCCACTGGTGCCAGGCTCAGTCACAATTTTTCACACATCTGTGTATATCCTCATTCACTCACACTATTTTTTTCTTTAAATTAAACTGCTTTATATTTTTAACTTTTTCTCCCTCTTAAGAAAACTTTTCATCATTATTTGTAGCAAGAGTCACTGACTACATTAATAAAATAAATACAAGCAAATGAAGTCTCACACGCAGTGTTCTAACTAGGTTGGGCTCTAAATTTGAGACCTAAACTTTCTGTGAAAGACAGAGAGTAACAAGGTCAGGAACAGCAGAGACTGATTAGCACCTGCTGGGACTTCTTCCCAGGTCATCTGCAGGATTGAGGAGCACTGAGAAGTCACCTGCTCCCTGTGGGGTTCAAGGTCCAGCCTGTCCACATAGCTGCTGACCACAGCCTACTCTTTAGAAAGCATGGCACCAGCCTCTCTGGGCCTGTCATCCCCAGGATGGGTCTGCTGCAGCCTGTGATGTGACCCAGTGAAAAATGCAAAATTCTATGCCAAGAAGGACAAAAGGGAGGGAAAACTGTGTAAAAAGGATGAAAGGAAGGGAAAATGATCTGTTAAGACCTGGTGGGGCACAGCGGAAACCCTGACCAGCCCCACAGGAAAGAAACGAAACTTTGTCCTCCAGGGGTGGGGAAGACATGGCCTCAACTGTTGACTTTTCCAGGAGGCCAAGTCCAGGGCAGGGCTGGGCCTTGGAGAGCCACCATTCACAAGCCAGTGACCATGGTTTGGCCTCAGGCCACATGCTGGCTGGGGGAGGAAACCAATGTGGTCATCTCAACCACTCCTTGGATAAAATGGCCTGTTCTAGAAGGTTCCCTAGGGGTGGTTCCTGAGACTACACTGGCTGCATTCCCAGTGACCCACCTGGAGGGATGAGGGAGGACAGAGGCACAGGGTGGAGGCAGGAAGGGCAATGAGAAGAAGAGACCACAGCTTGAGACACAGCTGGGGGACAACTGGACTCTGTTCAGCTGTCCAGGCCTGGCTTCCTGTTCACTAGCATGTGGAAATTCCCAGGTCTTATCATCAAAGAGCAGCAAGCAATGCAGCCAAGTGTGGGGGCTGAGTGGGGAGAGGATCTGTCTCAGTTGACCTTGGCTTTGGAGGCCGCAGCAGAGCCTCTTGGACTGGTTCCATCTTCAGCCAGAGGGCAATGCACAGCATTGCCGCCCTCTCCTTGCAGCTTTGTCCCTCAAGGGTCTCTGGAAGGCTGGACGCCCTCCACTGAGCACAGCCCAGGATGATAAGGAGAACCGACAGGCTGGCTGCACCCTGGAGAACAGGGTTCTGGGTGCACTGGTGTCTGTGAGGCAAAGGTGACTCTGCAGTGGCCCAAGAGGGAGGTATGTGACATCTCAGGTCCAGGCCAGAGTTCACTTCATGCCACACATTCCAGGACATGAAATTCCTCCTGTCTGAGTGGTTCCCAAAAAGCACAGGCAGGTGTGCGCTCAGACACCTGTACAGAGACAAACGGCCCCTGTACCAGTGGGAATCCCTCATCCTGAATGAAGAGGACAAATGCTCTGGGTCACAGCCAGCCAGCAGATGGCAGCAGCTAGAACATAGGTATCCCATGCAGCTGTACCCTGCCCCTGACTTTTGGAGTCTAGATGCAGAGACAGCTGGGTCCTTTCCACTTCATCAAGGTGGCAGGGAGGCGGAACCCATGGAACTCTGAGCTGATTTCAACTTGTGGCACCTCAGGTGTTCAGGAAAGGTCCAGGGCCTCTAAGCCTCCCCCCACTTCTCTGCACCTATGCTAAATGAGGAGCAAGGGCCTTGCTGTGTCCTGGCCCTGCTGTGCCCTTTCCAGGAGTTTCCAGAGTATGCTCTGCTCTGAGCCTTCACGGTTGCCCATCAGGTGGGCTGCTGATCAGGTGGGTGCACTATTGTCCTTCCTAACAGGCCATTGACCTTGCCCATGACTGTACATTGGGACACTGGCAGAGACAGGAATCAGGGAGGTTGGGCTGGCGCTAGCATGTATCTTTCAACAGCTCCCAGGCCACTCCCAGCTCCACGGGCCTCTGGCCTTCCCTACCCACAGGCTCCAAAGAGAAGGATATGGGCCGGTAATGCTGGGGACAGGATGGGGCCTGGCTTGGTCCTGCCTCACTGTATGACCTCAGGGCCTGGAATAATTTTAGGAGGATAACCAGGCAGAGAGAACGCAGGGAGCCAAAGGGCCTGGAGGCTTGAGTGACAAAGACTCTGCCAGGGCTGAGGATCACCTTTCCTCAGGGAAAGAATCTGCCTAACAGTGCTGGAGCCACCCGAGAGGTGACCACTTTTCCCGCAGTGGCTGGGACACTCCACTCCTGCAGTCTGACTGCTCTGTCCAGGGTGGCAGCCTGGACACAGGTGCTACCCAGCTGTGGAAGATTAGCACCACTTCATGTGCTCAGAAAGTTCCATGGACAGCGCCCATCAACAGCCTCCTTCCTCCGAGGCCAGGAGCACTAGAGCAATGGAGCCCAGAAAGGGAGGCTCTCGAGGTGTTAGCAGATGTACTGAGGAAAGAAATTAGCCAGAGAGAAGCAGAAGGTCTGGGGAAACTGGCAGGGGCCCCAGGACGATGAGATGAAACAAAACTAAAATAAAACAGTTGCTAAGTGGACAGGTTCAAATGTCAGTCCTGTCACTTCTGAACTATGTGACCCTGGGAAAGTTACTTAACCTCTCTGTGCCTCCGTTTCCTCACCTGGAAAGTGGGGTAGTGACCAGATTCAAGTCAAGGCCTTGGTATTATGAAAGCAGTGAGTGAGCGCTAGGCAAGTGCCGTGGAGGTGAAACGTGTTTGCAAAATGCTGGACCCTGGGAACGCAGTGTCTTACCAGAGAAGGGCTCCAGGGTCAGATTGAGCAGGTCCTTGGTGCCGCACTCGGGCCCCAGGACCCCGTTGTAGCTGACAGTGCGGGCACAGAGCATAAGGCGGGAGTCACGCCTCTCAGCAGTGCTGTTGGTGATATGGGCGAAGACGTCAAAGTCACTGCCCATGTTCAGGTCCTGGCCCACCCGGATCCGCATGGCCACCCCCGACTCCTCCTCCTCCGCTAGTTTGTTCAGGTGGTTGGCCCTCGTGAAGGCTGCCCTCTCCTCTGCGGACCCTGTAGGGACAAGACAGAGAACCCCAGTCACGCCGAGGCTAGAGATCAATGTGGAGGACAGAGCAGGCTGGCTTCTCGGAGACTTAGAGCAGCCCTACATTTCTGTGCTGAAAGGAAGGAGGACTGTCTTATTTATTTTCCACAATTGAACTCATGTACATCCCTCAAGACCCAGCCCCAAATGGTCCTTCCTCTAGGAAGTGTCTCTGACCACTTCTTCCCTAGGGTGTGTTCTGTTCATGTGTTTACCTCCCCCGAGCAGATCAGGATCATCTTCATCCGTACCTATCACAGCTTCTGATGCACACAAGGTACAAATACAATTCAAACTTTCTCATCTCCGATTGCTTGCACAGGGGTTTGCTTCTGCCTGAAATCCTCTGCCACCCCTTCTCTACCTGTCCAGCTCTCTACCGGAAACGGCTGCTCCCTTTTTACTCCCATTTGCCTCTCTCCTATGTGCCTTTTATTTTTTTCCCTTGGAGTTATTGGGTGCCTATCTATTTTTCTAGCAAACCATCAGCTCTAGACTTTTCAAAGGCCAGAACATCTTACCCTGTTTTATTCTTTCCAGGTAAGGCATAGCCATTCAACACCCAACCCTCCATCAGCCCTGAAAAGTCAGAGGGGGTCAGGACAGGCAGGGACTTTTAATTTCTCAGTCACCTCTGAACCCCACTGCAACTAGGACATGGTAGAAACTTAGGGAATCCCTACCTGATTGGGTGGGCTGGTGGATGAGCCCAATTCAGTTTTACAAAGTCTCTTTTGCCCTACTGACAACATTAGCAGCAGAAGAGGCCTCACTCTCTGGCCTGAACTTATCTCATTACTTTTCAGGTTCTTGCTGCTCATTTCTCTTTTGTTTAACACCTCCCCATCATTGGGTATGCTCACTTCCCCAGCTGTCAGTCAAATACTGCCAAAATAAACCCTGCCCTTTCCAGGCAGCTCCTCCGTGGTTTCTCTGGACTTTTAAGTACCTTCAGCACAGACACATTGCAATAAAAAGCATGAAATGGCTGGTGGAGTGGCTCAAGTGGTAGAGCACCTGCCTAGCAAGCCTAGCAAGTATAAAGCCCTGAGTTCAAATCCCAGTTACTGACAAAAAAAAAAAAAAAACAACAAACAAACTGGCTGTATATAGTCGTAGGTCCTGCTCCTGACAAAAACTGTTAAAAACCAGCATTACACGGCACAGGCATTACCAACTGCCCTCCTGAGATCCATGCCTCTCCTATAGAACACCTATAGGAAACTGCTTCCAGTTTCAGTAGAGTCAACCAACCAAAAAAAGTGAGGCTTGAAAACCAGACTGAGCTGGCGGGATGGCTCAAGTGGCTGAGTATCTGCCTAGCAAGTATGAAGCACTGAGTTCAAACCCCAGTACCACCAATAAAAAAGGAAAAAGAAAACCAGACTGATTTTTTTTTTTTTTTGAGAAGGAGGGATCTGGCTATATTGCTGAGAACAGCCTCGAACTTGAGATCCTCCTGCCCCAACTCCTTGAGTAGCTGGGATTAAGGTATGTACCACTGGGCTTGCTTCACCCTGGATCCTTCTGTGGAATTCAGAGTTATGAATCACCCTCCACCACCATCCCTCAATGATTTTGCACGCGTTTCTAAGGAATTTCTCAAACGGCATGTAACCTCCAGGTCACTGACATGCGTAGGTTGCCAAGTAAAACACACGCATACCCCCGAGTCTCCTGGGCTGGTAAAACCAAGTGCTAAGGGCTCTGAGAGCGGTGCCTACCCTCCGGGTACTTGTAGGCGTGGGTGATGTCCTCCCGCTCGTCCCGGCCCACGCTCTTAGTGCTGATCTTCAGCCCCACGACCAGGGACCGGTTGACGGACTTGTGCACGGACCCATCCTCCTGCCGGATCCAGTCCACCACGTCAGCATTGACCTCGGCAAAGACGAAAGGTGCGTCGTACTTGGTGCTCAGGTCGCCCTCCTTGATGGCACGCACCGGAACTGGGCCACAGCAGTAGGTTCCTGTTTGGGGACAGGCGGGAGAAGTGGGTGGGGTTGCAGAAGGGTGGCATCAAAACTCTCCAGGTTCCGACCACATGTAGCAGAAACTCTCACGCTCATTAGCCCTTTGACACACAGACTCCACTCCCAGGGCGGCTGCAGGGGACGAGGGACAGACAGGGATTCTGGAGTCCGGTGTTTAGGGTTCAAGTACAAACTCAGGCGCTTAGTAACCATGTGACTTTGGACCAGTCACTCTCTAAGCTGTGTTTACCGAGGGCGAACAACTAAACCAAGTAATGAGGACTCGTGAGGCACAGGTGCACAGCTCTTGCATCCGCCAAATGCTATGCTGGTATTTGATAAGTAAAATGGAACCGGACCCTAAGGTCACTAGGAGCCAAGCAGACATGGGAGGAGCATCTGTCTCTCTGCCGATGCGGCTTGGCCTCAGTGCGTGAGTGTTGACGGTTTGAACGTGAGTTGGGGTCACACCGCCCCACACCTTCAATGCTGGGGGCCAGGGCGGCGTGGATGTTCTCCCTCGTCCACGTGATGAAGCGTGGGAGCAGGAAATGACAATTCCAATCAGAAAACTCTCTGTGGGGGACATGCTAGTGATAATCCAGATGTGAACAGGGCTGGGAAAGGCTGCAGCTCTGGAGTTCTGAGCCCGGGGCCGCAGACCCCCACGGAGCCACCAACAGGAGGCAGGTGCCCACGAACTTGGGTGGGGAAGCATGACGTCTTTAATCCACAGGACTGCCACAGGCCATCGCAGCCACAGGTGCGCTTGTGACTCGTCACCCATAAGAACTACAGACCTTTCATGTCACCTGGTAGTTGTCCCAGATAACAGGAAATGTCACATATGAGACCCTGCCATGGTGCTGTAGAACCCACGGCCCCTGCCAGCAGACCTTGTGTATAAGTGAGCATGTTAGTGTATCACAATTTCTTTTTAGAACTTTTAATAACTTTGGTTTCATTTCATCCGTATGACTGTGCATTATATCTTGTGACACACATACAGGCATCTAACTTAAAGTCGCTGGTATGTGAATGACGATTCTTGTTTTAGGAGGAGGATGGCGATGTTACTTCATCTTTTTCTTTGTGTTTCTTCGTGAGTTCCCTTTTTCACAATGTGTGGGCATTATTTTTAAAATTGTAAGAGAAGTATGTTATAAAATGATGAGTGAGACCCCCGCGCCGCCCGGCCCAGTGACGTCTCTGTTTGGAACCCCGGCTCTGCCCCGCTCCGCCCGAGTGCGTGGATCTTCCTGCGCCCAGATTCTCACTTGGGGACGGTCCGTGCCTACCCACCTTCGCTCTTCTCCTGGGGTGTGGGGTCGATGGCCTGCCACCCCTCGTAGCCCACTTCCAGGTCGGGCCTAGTCATCCACGACTCCACCCAGCAGTGGAAGTTCCTAGTGGGGAACCGAGGCAGAACACTGCAACGTTCATGTCACCTTTCTGTTACCTCCTGCAGGCAGGCCACCTCGTGCAGATCCCAGGAGAGGCCTGGACTTGCCTTGGCCTGGAGGAGCCCCCCAGCTCTCCTCATTGTCAACATACCTCGCCTGTCCCTGGGCCCCTTCTCAGTCCCCTGCCACCTCCCAGTTTCTCTCTCTGGCTGACTCCACCTCCTAATTTCTTGGCTCCATCCCTCCTTTTTCCTGCCCTCAGGCCCTATCCTGGTCAGGCCTCCTCCTCACCCACCTGAACCATCTCCAGCCCCCTGGTGCACAGTGTCACAGTTCTCTCCCACTCTGAGGCCTTGAGTGACAAAGGGCCCTTGGGAACAAGCCCAGGCTTCAAATTCAGCATTTGACCCCTTGCCACCCTCTAGCACAACTCACCTGACCCCCTTTCAGCACTGCGGAGGAGGGCTTTCCCTCCTCCTGCCTTCAGTCCAGGCCTCCCTCCTGCACATCTCCCCTGCCCAGTCCTGCTCAACTGCCAAGGCCCAGTTCAAATGCCACTTCTAGAAAGCCCTCCCAGTTTTCCCTCCCAGGGTGCACGCCCCATTTCACCAGATCATCTCGCTCTTGTTGGCCTCGAGCTCCCCGAACTCATTGCGGAAGTACTCAATGAGCAGGTTGCTGTTCTGGTCATGTGCCGAGTTGTAGTTTGTCACGACTCGGGTGGGGATGCCGAGGCACCGCAGCACTGGAGGAGGACAGAGGGGATCAGATCGCCATCACAGCCCTGCAGACAGCTGCCTTGCCCAGGCCTCATGCCCATCTGCACCCAGGTACAGCCCTGGCTGTACCCACCTTCCAGGTGGGGAGGGTGTGTGCCTTTTGCCTGGCCAACGCCACTCACCTTACTGGTGACCCATGTCCAGTACACCCCCCTCTTATCACTCTAAAATGCAAATAGGGTATCAACACTCTTCTGGTAAGCGTTCAGTGGCTCCCCATGGCTCTGGAGGTCAAGGCCGGACCCCTGGCCATGGCCCTCAGCTCTGCAGAGCCCCATCCCCACCCTGAATGCTGATCCACCCTGAATGCTGTGTTCCAGCCACTCAACCCTGCAGCTCTCTATGCTCTGCCAGCCTCAGGGCATGGGCAGATTGTTCCTGCCTCCTGGAAGACAGCCCCGCCCCACTGAGGCCACCCCATCATTTGCACCCATAGTGGGGTGAGACTACAGACACTTGCAAATGCCCCCCCAGAGCTGTGGGAGGCCCTGTACCCTCTAGAGCTCTGTAGACTGGGGAAAGGGCTGAGGCTGCAATGGGGAGGACTTAGAGAAAGCAGGCCACAACTGGCCCCAACCCATCAAGTCAACTCTGCAAGGCTGTGAGTGCAGGGGAGGAAGGAAGCCCCGGTGCACCTGTCCAAGGAGGTTTGCAGGGGGCGTAAACATGAGACTTCTCTCTCTCTCTCTGTCTCTCTCTCTCTTTTTCTCCCTCCCTCCCTCTCTCTCCCACTTGGAATGAGACCCAGGGCCTTACCCAAGCCAGGCAAACCCTCTACCACAGAGCTACACCCCAAGCCCTTCTCCCTCATTTTGTGTCACTATAAAAGTGACAAGTTCTCAGGGTTGGCAAAAGAAAGTAAATATTTACCACTTGCACCACTCCACCAGCCCCTAAGAAAGTAAATATTTAAAAGGTGAGCTGAGCAAAAGGCCCAGTGCGTGTCACCAGTGGCACTGTGCTTTACTTTGCTTTTGAATGAAGTTGAGTCTCTGGGAGGGGAAAGCCAGGGAGTGGCCTTTGTCCTGTGCCTGACAGCCAGCACCGAGCTTCCTGGAGGGTCCTGGACCCTGGCCAGGGGACATGTGGGCTCTGGAAGAGGGAGGAGCAACTGCAAGCCTCCACCTCTTGCCTGGTTCCCGAGCCCCTGGGACCGGACGGGGGCCAGGCCCACTGCTGCCCTCAGCCAATGATGGGGTCCAAGTCCCAGGCCTTGCCTGGCATGTGGTGACCTCAGAGATTACGTGAGGGGTCTGTGTGTTGCTGGGGAGCTGGCAGCCCTTCTGTCCCCAGGCTGGTGTCTCAGGAGGCCTCACAGTCACAACCTGAGGCCAGGAGGTGACCCCAGAACCAGGCACACCTGGTTCAGAGCTTGACTGTGCTGCGCCATTGTCGAGCCACTTCCCGTCTCTGAGCCTCCATTTCCCAACTGGGTAAGAGTTGCTAAGAATAGCAGCTCATGGAGGTATGGTGGTGATCCAGAAAGGCCATGGGTATGGGCGGAGTCGTCTGCACAGGACACCACCAAGGAGGCACTTGAGAATGAATGTGTCACGTGCTGTCGGGATGAACGTCAGCCCCAGTGGTTGCTGATTGACTCAGAGGTGTCGAGAAAATGCCTAGGGAACCAGCTAAGAATGCCAGAATCCCAGCTTCTCCAGAGCCCAGTACTGTTAGCTAAGTGACACCTCCAGTCACCAGTCCTGGGTGCTAACGTGAATCAGGTCAGTCACTTTTGTCTCTGTTCTGCAGGTGAGGAAACAGACTTGGGACACCCATTCTCTTGCCCAAGTGTGCCCAGGGGTTGGACATAAGCTGGGACTCCCACCTACTCAGTCTAGCTCCAGAGCCCGTGGACTTGACTGAGTTTTCCTGGGCTCTGTCACAAGCAGGCCTGGGAGGCTGCCAGAGCCCAGGCAGGGTCAGGTTGTGGGAGTTTTCAGGAAATTCACAGTTTCCAGAGAAGATGTTTTAGGCCCTTGTGAGGAAAGGGTCTGGGTGGGGAGTTTTCCCAGAAAGGGGAATCTAGAGACTAATGGGAAACAGGCAGTCACAGGCCAAGAAGGGTGGTGGTGGGGAAGCTGTGGGGGAGGAGATCAGTACGCCTGAGCTGGGGCCAGGTCACCTCACTTAGCCGGCCAGTATGGAGGACAAATTCTGGGGCCTTTGGGATCGCTCTCTGGGCTTGAGCAGTGGTTCTGGAGCCAGAGAAGCTGGGAGCCCCAGCTTAGCCCGATGGACTTCCCGAGCCGGAAAAGGGCACTGTGCCTGTGCCTGTCTTACACGCGATGGAACCGGGCTCAGAGGAGTTCGGCCATCTACCCAAGGACGCGCACCTGTGCAGGCCACAGCGGCGAAGACCCAGCACTGGCCGTACTTCACGTGCTGGCAGCCATGGTCCTTCCAGCGCCGCAGGATATCCACACTGCCGATCCAGGACATGGGGCTGACACCGTCCCCGTAGTTGTTGTCCCAGCGGCCCAGAAGCACGCCCTGGTCATCGTTACAGTTGACCTGCAAACAGTGGGGCATTGTGGGGACAGAGCCTGGGACGAGGTGATGGCTGGGCAAAGGCGTTGAGGAGGGCTCAAGGCCAAAAGCAGAGAAGGAGCCATGAGTCCCCAGATGAGGGCACAGCAGGTGCAAAGGTGCCACAGAGCAACAGATGCTGGACAAGGCTGCAGGCTGGAGCCCAGGGCTCAGGAGACAGAAGCGGGACCGGGGGGTGGACTGGAGGGTGAGCAAGGACAAGGCCAAGAATGCCATGCTGGAGGCCGAGTCTGTCCTGTGAGCCTGGGTGACACACGATGATTGAGTTCCACAAACACCTGCTCAAGCCCTACCCAGAATTTGTTGTCCCCTCGAGCCCCCATTATCTCCAGAATAAAACCCAGCCTCCTAATCCCAGCCCACAAGGCCCAGTGGCTCCTGTCCACCTTGGCAGCTCCTCCTGCACCTGTTCCCTTCACGCCCTCTGCTGCTGCCACACCGGCCTCCCTTCTGTTCCTCGAGTCCTTCTCTCCTCAGGGCCTTTGCACAAACTGTACCTGTTCTTTTCCCTCCTCCTCCTCCTATGTCAGCTCATGGTCAGCACCTTAGGGAGGTCTCTCGGCCCTTGCCGAGGTCAGGCCCCGTGGTCAGACACTCACACACCTGGGTTCCCGTGCTTACCTTAATTTACAATTGTGAACTCACTCACGTGAGAGTTCTGCTAACGTCTGTCTCTTTCCACCTCTTAGGATTTAGGGACCATGCAGGTTTTGTCCCCAGTGCCTAGGACACAGGTGGCCCTTAATCAACATCTGCTGGAAGACTTGGGGAGTTGCTTTGGGGAGCCTGTGGTGCTGTGCTCCTCTGTGCAAACCTTTCTGAACACAAGCTTCTTTTTGCCGAGTCCCTCCACCATGCCCTGTGGCCTGGGTCACCACAGACAGGAGGGGTCTGCTCCAGTCTGCTTTGGGCCACAACCCTGGGGGCCCTGCCACTCACTCACCATGGCACTCACCACCCGGCCCAGGTAGACCGGGTTATTGCGTCGTGAGCAGTCTCGACCACAGTCCCTTAAGAACTTGGGGTTGATATCCAAAAGTATCAGGCAGATGTCCAGGATCCCATCTTCAAACTGTCAGAGGGAACACAAGGAGAATGGGGAAACTGAGAGGCCACCTCCTCCAGGAAGCCTGCCTTGATGCCCCAGCACCTGGGAACAGGAGCATGGGGAAGCCCAGTGAACTCAGAGACCCTTGGGACCCTGTCACTGCCCCTTTCCCCTCTCCTCAGCCAAACCACCACTTCCCCTGACTCACTCTGTGATGACAGTCCCCTCTTCCCTCCACACACCATCTGATTGTGTTTCACCAACACTCAGAGGAAAATCAAGACATCTCCCTGCAGCCTGCAAGGACTTTTGTGATCTGTGCTCACCCTCTTTGACGTCATCACACCGGGCCCCTGGCTCTCTGCCTCAGGGCCTTTGCACTTACTATTTCATTAGCTGGAATGCTCTTCCTGCCATGCTGGAGGGACCACACTTTCTCATGCTTGCAATCCTAATGTCATAGTTATCAAAAGCAGGACTCTCTCCTTGTTACCTTGTGTAGGGCCACCCATCTGATATGCCAGGGGCTGTCCTGAATGCTCCTGCTCCCTATCTATGGTCCTATCTTGGACTCGGGCTTGTCATGGAACCGCCCCTAGGGCTTGAACCCTTTTGTGGGTTCCCCCTACCATCTGCCTGATGCTTAGGACTTCCCACCTCATTCCTTGGGGTTCCTTTACACCCAGGGTAGAACATAATTCTCAGCCAGGATTTAAACTTTCTGTCCTCTGAGCTCCCTCATATAGCCCAACTTCTCACATGGCAAATTCCTACTTATTCTTCAAAGCCCAGCTCAAGTGTGTCCAACTTCAAGAACCCCCCGCCCTGCTCTCAGGGACAGCGTTCCTCCTCTCCTCTAGGTCTTTTTGTCCTGCACTGCAGTCACTTCCAAGGGCTGTGCCAGGACAAGTCCCACAGCCTAGCACAAGCCAGGGTACAGAGCAAGACCTCAGGAAGTCACGGGAAGGACCTGGCTTTGTTCTGTTTCTCAGGAGAGAATGAAAGACCCTGGGACATCAGAGCCAGTCTGCTTTCTGAAGTATTTTATCCCCACAGCGGGTCACAGGGTATTTCACAGTGATGATCCCTGATGAGGAAGCTGCAGTCAGCTTGAATCTGCCACCATTCAGGAGGACTTCCCTGTGGCCCAGGGTCTCACTCAGAGGCTGCTGGGAGAAGCCTCAAGGTGAACCCACCCAGGAGACCACACTGCTAACATGCTGGGAGATCAAGAGGCGGGGGTTCCAGGGTTCTGCTTTATGAGTTTTCCTGAAGATTCAGGGATTTTTGCAGGAGGCTGAGTGACACAGGAAATGAGAGCTTTGGTTTGCAGAACCAGCCCGGTCTGGTGACGACAGGAAACCACAGGGCACAGAGGAGCCAGCAGGCTGAGCCCAGCCCAGGCTACATAGTCGGAGGGACTTGTGAGGAATGATAAACAACTGCTGCTTTCCGCCTGTGTGTGTCAGGCCTGCTTGTTACTGAGCAGTAGCTGACGGATACAGCAGAACAGCCAGCAGTTCTCAAAGTGTGCTTGCTTAGAAGCTGCCTTGGTGCCTCCCGGGAAGACTCCCAGAAAGGCACCGAAATCTGTACTCTAACATGGCCTCCTGGTCACTGGTGCACAGTTCTGCTTGAGAACCAACCCCTGCTACGGACAATGGTTCCTTCCTTCCTTATCTTATCCTTTCTTTTCCCTCCTTCTTCCTTCCTCTTCCTTTCCTTCTTTTTCTTGGCAGCACTGGGGAGTGAACTCAGGGCCTCACATTTACTAGGTAAGCAAGCTACCACTTGAGCCACAGCCCAGATAGGGTATCAGGCTTAGCCCAGGCTGGCCTCAGACTGCAATCCTCCTGCTTCCGTCTCCTGCCTAGCTGGGATTATAGGCATGCATCACCCCCCATGTCTGGTCCTCAAGCCCCTTCTTTCTTTTTTCTTTTGGTGGTACTGGAGTTTGAACTCAGGGACTCACACTTGCTAGGCAGATGCTCTACCACTTAAGCCACTCTGCCAGCCATTTTTTGTGTTGGGTGTTTTTGAAATAGGGTTTTGTGAACTATTTGCCCAGGCTGGGTTGGAAGCAATCCTCCTGATCTCTGCCTCCTGAGTAGCTGGGATTACAGGCATGAGCCACTGGTGCTTGGCTCAAACCCCTTCTTGGCACATGCCCAGAACACAGTGAGCATCCTCCAAGAGTGATTATTATGCTGACATAGAACCTTCACTGCTCCTCTCTCCCCTCTGAGAAGCCCAACCAACCTCATGGCTCCCAATGGCTCTCCTCATTCTTTCCCCACCCTAAATCCAGGGCTGTTGCCTTTGTTGTGTGACTTCAGGCCAGTCCTCAGCCCTCTCTGAGCTTTCAGCCATTTCAGGACCCTTGGCATCTCTGACAGGATGGGAAAGGTGAGTCTATAACCTGCTACACCCTTGGCATCTCCGGGTGCCTCAGACACAGGATGGCTGGAGGTAGTAGTCAGGGCAGGTGTGGACTTACCTGCCCAAAGTTCCATGGCATGCTCTTAATGAACCTGGGTGAGCCCTGGTAGATGAACCCCTGCTGGGAGAGGACATACTCCCGCCGCTCTGCATCTGAGTCCAGATACACAGCATCCGCTGTGGACAGAAGAAAGGAGCTTCAGCTCTGAGGCTGGTGGAGCTCAGGGTCCCTGGAACCCCAGGCCAAGCCAGCATCTCAGAGGCCTTTCTACCACTTAATTAGAAAAACTGATAATCAAGTCAGGTGTAGTGACACACAGTTGTAACTCCAGCTACTTGAGAGGCAGAGGTAGGAGGATCAAGGTCCAAGGCCAGCAAGTGCAAAAGCTCAAAGCCCTATCTGAAAAACAAACCAAGCAAAAGGCATGGCTCAAGTGATAGAGCATCTGTCTAGCAAGAGCGAGACCCTGAGTTCAATCCCCAGTACCAGCAAAAAAAAAAAAAAAGGAAAACCAAATCATTAATTAATAATCCTATGTCAATAAGATAAGGTGTCATCTATCCAGCAGTGGCCTGTGAGGACCTGTGATGAACGTAGGTCACATGTCAGTTCATCCATTCTTGCTAAGAGCCCCATGAGGAAGGGACCCAAGAAAGTGCCAGGTTAAACATGGGGACACTGATGCCAACACAAGAGACTGGACTGGGAAGCCAGGCGGTCGTGGTCCTGACCCTCTCCACCCACCCCAATGTCTCACTAAGTTAGCCCGAGGGAAGTGAGGTTGCAGATCTGAAAGGGGCTGTGGACACTGACACCTGAGCCAGCAGGAGGGACATGGAGAGAGCTCAGTGCCAGAGGGGGAGGTCAAGAAATGGTCACCATGGCTCAGGGGAGGGAGGAGCTTTCCAGCTTGGGGGATGGGGAGGGCTCCCTGGAGGAGGGGGGCTCTGAATGAGGCCTTGAGAAATGACCAAGGTTTAGACCCTTGGAGCCTAGTGGATGTTACCGTAAGCAGAAGCCCAGAGAGGACAAAGCTTTGGCCACAGAAAATGCAGGCCTCTGAGTTCCCTGTGGGTAGGGAGGGGGAGGAGGGGGAAGAGAAGGAAGGGGAGAAAAGAAGGCTGAGGAAGTTGAGGCCTGACAGGCTGGCTTAATGATGTCCAGCTCACAGATGGAGAAACTGAGGCTGGGAAGGGGAAATCTGAAGCCTGTGATGACTTTGGCAGGCCCAGGCCTTTCGTGGGCCATGAGCATCCATTTTCCATGGCTACCTTCCTCCGTCAGAAAGAAAATTAAACGTTGACTGCATTGGGGAAATGATAGCTTAATTTACATATTAAAACATTGCCTAAGTGTTCATTCTTTTTCTGGTTTTAAAAGAAATGGAAACATTTTCCTGTGTTGCTTAAGTACAGTGGCCTGGGGCCCGGGCCTGTCTGTGCCTGTGGAGAAGTGGGCCAGGGAAGTCCGCCTGGTTCCCTGGGAGCTGGTCTGAAAGGTGGGGGCCAGCACCCCACTTCCATCTCTGTTTAGAAAGAGGCTGAGAGGCCTGTGCCCACTGCTCTCTGGCCCCAGAGAGTATGATAAAATTGACCTTGATGTAAAAGAGCTGCATGCTGGGAGTCTGCTGGGCAGGGGCAGGGGAGAGAAGGAGGGAGATGGAAAGAGAAAGCAAAAAAAAGTGAGAACTTCAGCACATGTCAAGTGGGGCTGGCTCAAGGCCCCGTCTGGTAAATTTGGAGTTGTGTGGAACAAAGCCATCCATCAGAGCCATTTCCTCCCCAGCACCCGTCCCCCATCCGAGCCCAACTTCCTGCCTCCTCCAGGCTCCCAACTGGGATGTAGGTCACTGTCATCCCTGGGCTGCTTGGCTGCCAACCACTCCAACCCACAGGTCAGGGCAAGGCCAAAGAGGAGGGGAGCCATGACCCAGAGTTGTGCCTGCCCTTCTCCAAACGCCAAACCCCTCCAGGCATTGGTGAGCATGGGGCAGACGCACAGCCCGCTCCCTAGCAACCCTTCACAGATTAGCCAAAATCCAAAACAAGCTGCAGCAGGTCCCAGCAAGGCCACTTCTGTCCCAAGAAATCATTCCAGGTAGCCAAAGGCCATGTGAGCAAGTGTGCTCCTTGCAACATCCCCTTAAGCCACTGGGGATGACCCCAGGCCATCGGTTGGGTGCTGGATGGATGAAATGCCCACATGGACAAGGGGCAAGGCACTTCAGATCCTTAAAAGAACGAACCAATGTACACAGACCAATGTGGACTCACTATGTAGCACAGGGGGAAAACATGTCATGGGTTGATGGATCCTTCTATGTTGACAGAGAGAGACAGAGAGAGACAGAGAGACAGAGAGACAGAGAGATTGTATATACAGACAACTCTAAGACAGAGAGAAGCAGAGTCCTCCAGGTAGTGTTTCAGCTTTTATTAAAAGGGTGCCCTTGTGTCTCACTGTTATACATAAATAAAAGCCAAAATATGCACAAGAGAAATTTGAAAAAGCCTCCTGATCAAGTATGTTATAAAACTCCCAAAAATAGAGAAGAAAAAAGAAAGCCACAGCCCAGTGACTGATGTTCTGTCCTGGGGTGGAGGATGCTCTGTTACCAGGCTGCGGCCTTATGGGCTCCCTCCCCACTTGTCAGTCACAGCAGGAAGGAGGCAGACAGAGATCCGACTGTCTTGTTAGTCACTGCGGGGATGAGGCCTGAGGGCAGCAGCCCCTGGCTCCTCCTCTACCAAGCTCTCCCCTCTCCCTTTCTGCTTCATTACATACTGACTTACTGAAGGAGCTTCCAAAAGCCACTGAGCCTCTCTGCACCTCAGTTTCCTGTCTGAGGCATGAGGATGCTGACGTCTGTCCCTTGGGAAGGTTGAGAGGAGACATTGAGACACTGTGAAAGGAAGCAGCTGGAAATGAGACTGCTCCTGTCTCCTCTCCTGACCCCTCCCTGTACCCCCATCAGTTCTCCCTAACCAGCCTGAGTAAGTCTAAAACAAGTCCTTAAAAACAGACTGGGCATAAGGAAAGGGTGAGTGAGGGTGAATACAGGTGTACTTTGTGTACATATATGAAAATAGGAGAGGCTCAAATGGTAGAGTGCCTGCTTAGCACATGCAAGGACCTGAGTTCAAACTCTACTATCACCAAAAAAAAAAAAAAAAAAAAAAAGGAAAAAAGATTATATACGAAAATAGAATAAAACCTGTTAAAATTGTTCTAGGAAGGGGAGAAGAGGAAGAGGGATAACAATGGGCTGGGTAAATCTAAGATATATTGCAAGCGCATATGTACGTAGCACAGTGTATCTCCCGTACAACTATTAAATACTACTAACAAAGAAAAGCACTGAAACCAGTCAATACAAACAAACAAATAAAAAACAGAGTAAGGACATAGTGCCAGCCTGAGTACCAGCTGGGCGCCCCTTCCTGACATGGCTTTCTGAAACCAAGACACTGCCCCGTCTGGTGCTGTGGTTTTGAAAGAGCTCCCCCAGTCCACAGGTGGGAGGAGGTGCTGATGGAGTCACGCTGTTATGGGCGTGACTTAGTGACCACCAAAGTGGAATTATTGCCAAACACAGCTCTATCCTCTCTATTCTGTTGCCAGGTGGTGCCTCCACTGTATTGTGACACAGCAAGACAGCCCTCACCAGAGGCGGCCCCTCGATCTTGGACTGTCCAGCCTCCAGCACCAACAATGTCACGGGTTCACAGTGCCATGGGAACAGTGGGTCTTAAACATATGATTGAAATGCTTTGGTAGCTGCTTTGAGCAAGTCATTTTGCCTCCATGAGCCTGACTGGAAATGGGGATGACAAGAGGCCAGAACACAGAGCTGCACCCAGACCTTGCTGGCTCCACTTTGCTGCTGCCTCTTCTTGCTCTTCCCACCTCCATGGCCTCCCAGGTGGACCTAACCCAGCCTCTTTGGATGAAGCGTGGCTCACCTGGGCACCAGGCATTGAAGAGCAGGGTGAAGTGGCCCAGCACGAAGCTGGAGCCCTGGTAGCCGGTGGAGGTCTCCAGGGTGAGGCAGTACAGGCCGATGGGGGCATTGGCTGGCGTGCAGAGCTGCAGTGACAGAACCTTGTCCTGCTGGTCCACCACTGAGGCTGTCCAGGCCCCCTCGTCCACAGCATCGGACAGCGGGAAGCGGGCCTTGGTCCCCGCCTCCTCGCTGGGGGCTGGGCCTATGGAGGAAGAAGGCAGCAGCTGTGAACCAGAGGTGGGCAGGACACGAATCTGGGGTCCTATGGCCTGGGGTCAAGTCCTAGCTCCACCACTAGCCACTGGAGGAACTTTGCAAAGAAGTTCTATCTCCCTGACCCTCAGTTTCCTTATCTGTAAAGTGGAAATCAGAACCCTGTCTTGCAGGGTGGTTTGTGGGAATATATGAAAAGTCACAGGGACACGGTAGTACACAACCCGAAAGAGTCCCCTGAGAAAGGGGACAGCACAGCCTGGGGTATAGTCTCAGTCATCCCACTCTGCCCTGTGGTGACCTTGGACAAGACCATCTGCTCTCCAGCTCCCTGTCTTAGCATGGGCAGGACTCTGGCCGGATGCTCGCCAAAGGTTCCTGTCCTCTGCATATTGCTGTCTCTTATGGAGACAGAAACCTGCACTCTGAAGGATGGACATGGGCCCCCAGACCCCTTTCTATAGGATAACAGAGGGTTGGAGAGGTGTCCCCAGAGCCTCTCTGCTGTGGGCTCTGACCCCACAGCCACCCTCACAGCTGTGCACACTTTATGAAGGGTCGTGGCATGTCCTGCTTCCTCTGAGCTCCTTGGACCATGGAGAAAAGTGAGGCCTAGAGATGAGAGCTCCCCAGGGGTCATATGGTGGCGATGGTGGTAGTCGGGGCTGTGGCCAAAGTGGCCCTGGACTCCTCCACACTGCCTCATTTTCACCAAAGATGCTCCCTAGGCTGGTCCCAAAGAGACAGCCACTCAGAGTGTGTCACAGATGGTTGTGTTTCCAGGTGAGGGGTGGGCCTGGCCCACGCAGGCAGGTCTGAGTCATGGGCAGGCAGGGAGGGGCTGTCACTTCGGACATGGGCGGTGGGGAGGAGAAACAGAGTGTATTCTCTGCTCAGCTGGACAGTCGCCCAGGATGGTTTATTTTTATTCCTCCAACCCTCCCTACAGCTCTGCCCACCGCTGCTGACAATATCGGGGCTGCTCACTAAGGGGCTCCCTCCCAACCCCGGCCCCTCCCTCCTGCCTGCCAGCCCCACCGCACCAGACCCAAATAGAACCATGAGCTAGCAGGTATGACACAGACCTCAGGAGCCCTGTCCCCATGCCAGGCTGACTGGCAGCCTTTAAATGCTCCTTGATTTCCAGAGTTGACACTTACAGGGGGAACCATACAGCCCTGGGGCCCAAAGAGCCATCCTGAGTCTAGTTCTTGCCCTGATCCCTGAGCACTGTGTGGTGTAGGCCAAGTCCCCGGGCCTCTCTGACCCATGGTCTTCTTTCAGAAAGAAGAAAATGAACTTGGATCTGGAAAGATCTACCTCCAGGTTTGAAACTGGTTTGTTTCAGTAACCTTAGATAAGCCATTTAGCCTTTTAATGCCACACTTTTCCCACCTGTAAATGGGGCCCAAGTGGTATCTACTATAAAGCCTGGAATACAGTAAGTGCTCAATAAATACTAGCTATTGCTGTATATGATTGCCACTGTGGCCTCCTGGCACTGCTGAGAGGGTCCAGTGTGAGTTCATAGAAAGTGTTTAAAGCAGGGACTGTCCTCAATCTCGTCAAAAGGGACAGGAAACCTCTGAATTCTCAGGCCACATAGCAAACTTGGAGGGCTGGGTGAAATGTGGACAGATGTGGTGGTCACAGGTCACAGTGGCTCAGGGAAACCTACTATGCCTGAGGTCCAGCACAATCCTGAACGGTGCCCTCCCCTTCTCAGAAATGTCCCTGTTTGCAGGATCAGTTATCTGGTCACCCTGGTAACAGGCCAGGTCAGGTCCCATAACCATTGTTTCTGTTGCCATAGCACCCTCGAGGCAGGTCAGGGGGCACATCTTCCCAACTCTCTTTCCTGGGCAGTCACACACACACAGGTGCACACACATGCACACGCATGCATACGTACATATAGACACACACGGGGTATATCTCTTCCTTCCAAGAGGCCCTGTAGGGGAGGAGGACAAGCTGTCCCCTGGTCCTACCCTGCTCACATAAGCTGGCTTAAAAAGTCTTCAGCTGCAATTCCACATAGTACTCTGGTAAGGCTGGGGCACCCTAGGGATCACTCCAGACCTAAATGACCCGAGCACTCCGAGGGGTCCCAGCTTTGTCCCAGACTACCAGCTGGCCAGCTGGGCTGAGGTGGTCAAGGCTTCCAAGGTGAAGCCTTACTTAGCCTCACAGGGCAATCTTCACCCTTCAGCTGATCTCTACTTCCCCTCCCCCCAGGGACATGGCGCTTTATCCCTTTCATAAGGTGGTGATCGTCCAGCCTGGTCTGTGCTCCACGCAGTCTGTCAGGCCCTGAACTGCCTAGGAAAATACACAGCATCTGGGCATGACAGGGTCAGGCCACATGCTCCCTCACTGAGTGACCTCTTGGCCTCAGTTTCCCTGAAGTGGTAGCACAGGGTGATCACAGCTGGAACATTCCAACACAGGAGCAGAGTCCTGCAGAGTACCTAGCCAGACCTACAGGTGGGGGCCCAACTTTCTGGTATTGTCCCTCCAGCTTCCTCAGCCCCAGGAGGATCCTGGCTCCTTGGGCAGGGAAGCCCTAAGGGCTATGGAAGTGAACAGTGGGCTCTGGTCTGAGATAAGCCAAGGGATACTGGAGAACAGAGATTAATGGGGCAGGAAGGTCCCCCATTCCCTCCCAACACTGAACTTACCTGTCACTAAGATGCCCAGACAAATGGAGAAGAAAGAAAAAAAGGGGATGTCTTGAGAAAGAAAAAAGGAAGAAAAAGGTGGGAGCTCCCAGGCTGCCCAGGCTCACCTACCACCCCATTTCACAGAGAAACAAGCTGGTAGGCAGAAGTAAATGTGCCCACTGAGGGTGGCAATAATAAAAGGTCTCAATCTTGAGGGGTCAGGGTTTAAAACCTCTTATGTCCCTCACTGGGTGCCATTCCTGGCAGTGACTTGATCTTTCTGAGCCTTGGTTTTTCCATCTGCTTCCAAGCTGTGAGGATTCAGGGTGAATGTGTATACTGTAGGCACACCATAGTTGCTGTGATTTTTTTTACCATCCCACACAGAACTCTTCTACTTTGCAGAGGAGAAGCTGAGTCCAGGAGGCCAAAGACTTGCAGGGACCCCTGAGCTGTTCGAAAGGGCCCTAAGGGTGCTGGTTTGGGGTGCCCCTGGGTAGTAGCTGTGTCTCTGCCTGAGGGGAGGGGCGGGAGGAAAAGGGATGGAGGGAATATCCTGGCAGCCTGCAGGCTCCGTGATAAGCCTTATCAAACGGCCTCCCAGGTGACAGGGGCCTCAGCCAGGCAACTTCAGCAGGAGCTCTGCCCCAAAAGACCTCAGAAAGAGCTGGCATTTTAGTTCTTGGACGATAGTCCCAGCCTGGTGGCCCCTCACTCACCCCGAGGGAGTGGTTCCCACCAGAAGACAGACCAACTGATTTGGCCTCTGAGGTCACTTTCTTAAGAACAGTCAACAAAAGAGTTTGGGACTGGGTGTCTGAGGATAGGCTGGCCAGGACTGCATGTCCTGTCATCATGCCTGAAGCCCTGAGAGTGAAACTAACAACAGGGCACCGCCATCTACAGAGCACTTCTGCATACCAACCTCTTCTCACTTGACCTACCATTTTGAATGCTGTCCAGGCCGTAACGCTAGGGTTCAGAGAAGCTAAGTGACTTGCCCAATGTCACACAGCAGGTAGGCAGCTCCGCCCACTCAGTATTCCAGCCCACTGGACCTTCTCCACTACTCAGAACTGATTTGGATCCAATCCCAGCAGCCTGGGGCAGGGGAGGGAGGTAGTTGTGTGGATTCCGGGAAGCAGTGTTCAGAAGAGATTGGAAAGTTGTTTTGATGTGGGAAAGAGTGGGCAGGATGTTTCTGGACCTTCGTGGCAGAAAGTTGACCCCCCACTGCTGATGACAGCAGGTTCACAGGAACCCAAGTGTCCGTGACACTGGTTTATAAGGCCGGGTGGCCTGAGGTGACGCCTCTCCCTCCACTTTCCGGGCCTCAGTTTCCTCATTTGTGAAATGGGGTTAGTAGAACTGGGATTTGCCCATGAGGGCAAAAAAGGTATGAAGTCAACTGTCCTTTGTCCATTAGGGGACAGGGACAGTGAATCCCAGGACCAGACAGGCTGAGAGGGGAGAGAAAGAAGGGATCACAGGTACCCACCAGTCTCGGCGCTGAAGGTGAGGCTGTCCACACTGGCTTCATAGCCTCGGCCCTCCAAGTGCAGCGTCAGCCAGAAGGGCTGACCCCTCCGCACCACCAGCCTCCCCTGGCAGAGGTCAGCTGTGTGGTGGTCACGGCCATTGGCCTCCAGCTCTAGGTCACATCTCTCCAGGATCAGCTCTGTGGAGACAGGGACGGGGGAGAGGCATAAACCACAGAGACTGTGGGCTGTGGTTGCAGTGACATGCCCACACTACCTGGATGCGGGGGCCCTGTGCCCTCCCTGGAGCCAGCTCTCACTGGACCATGGCAACCAAAACCACAGCCCAGCCCCTCTCATTCCCCCAACCCTGTCGATTTGGCAGAGGCCAAAGCTCCCCATTTCTTCTAACCACAAAGTTGGACCACCATGAAGAAGGCTCTGCCCCCTTCCAGCTGGTGAGCTCCAGCAACTCAACTTTCCTGGGCTTCAGTTCCCCCACCTGTCCCCAGGTGGGGCACAGTAGGATGCATCTCATGGGGCTGTCGTGAGCACTAAGTGAATCCATACAAGTGAAGCACACGCGTGCTCCAGCCACGAGCCTGTCTACAGTCCCACGTGTGCTCCAGTCACGAAGAGTCGTCTGGGGGGCTTCTTTGGCTGACACAGCAGGATTTGTACAGATGTATTACAGGGATTTGCTGGCAACCCATCTTTCACTTTACAGGAAACACCCCCAGCTGAGGAGCAGGCTAAACAACCACGGGCACAGTCAACAAAACCAGACTGGGAGGCTACATGCAAAGGATCAGGTTTCTTAAATAAATCTCAAGGAGAAAAAAAGAAGAAGAAAAGAAGGTTGGAAGGACACTAAAGAGAAAGTGAAGACACCTTTCCACCTGGTGTGGTGTGTAGGTCTTATGTGGATCGTGTTTAAGCACTAAAGACATTTAGTACACAGCTGAAAGGAGACAGCTGGAAATTCAGCACTGATGGAATCATGGTGATAACAAGGATTTTTGTTAATGTGTTTATGTCCATGGAGGAGAGTCCTGACCTTTTGAAGACGCGCACTGAAATATTTACACAAGATGAAGTGGGGTTTGCTCTCCAACCCTGGGGGAGGGGCTGGAGAAGGCGTAAGTTGGGTAATGAGAACCTAGGGATCTAATATACTATTCTCTCTACTTTTATGTAGATTGATATTTTCCATGATAAAAAATTTTAAAATGGCAGAAGTTTTGGAGTTTTCTGGATCTAGGTTTTAGTGCTGTTGTGCTGCTGCTGTGTGATCCTGGACAAGTGTTCCTCCCTCTCTGTGCCTCTTTCTCTGAAGCCTCAAAGGGGTGCTATGAGGTTTAAGCATGGATATGTAGGGCACCCTTCCCTAAGACCCAGTTCAGGGCAGGCACATACTGTGCGAAAGTTCTACATACAGTTTCGGAGTGAGCTGAGGACCTCATAAATACTGGCAAGCAAAAGGTCAAGATGGGGAGGCCCAGCAGGGTGTGGGTGGCTCACACCTGTAATCCTACTTACTTGGGAGGCTAAGCTCAGGAGAATCAAGGTTTGAGGCCAGTCTGGGCAAATAGCTCCTTGAGACTCCATCTCCAAAAATAGCCAGAGCAAAATAGACTGGAGGTGTGGCAGAGTACCTGTTTTGCAACTGTGAAGTCCTGAGTTCAAAACCCAGTTCCATCAAAGGAAAAAAAAAAGATTGAAAAGCCCTTGGGGATGGGGAGTGGGTAAGGGTGACTCTCAGAGCTGTGGAGGGCAAAACCCAGGGTCAGGGACTGGCCCAAAGGTGACTGTGCAGCCTCATACCGTGAAATATCTCCAAAGAGAGGGCACAAAGTGCCCAGTGCCTGCCAAGAGCCTCACCAAAACCTCACAACTCCACTTACACAGCCCATCACCAGCTCCATTTGCAGAGGGGGATGATATGTGGCCCCTGGTCCCATAGCAAGTGGCTGCTTTGGGGTTTGACTCAGGGCTGTTAGGATTCTGGAACCCGTCCCCAGCTCAGGGCTGGTTCTCCATCTCCCCACCCTACCATCTCTCCCCCATTTCTGGGTTGTTCTTCGCTTGGGAGGAGACAGACCTGCAAGTCTGAAGCAGCAAGAGGTCAATCCCATTGTAATCCCACAGGAGAAACCTCAGTGGGCCACAGGAAGAAACTTCTGCTGGCCTCTGGGGCAAGGAAACACTGTCTCTCGGAACTTCCACCCCAGAGCCCTTCAGCAGGAAAGAGCCCGTCATTTCCTGGGGAGGCCTTAAGGATGACCAGTCCCTGGTCTGGGGAGATGGGGTACATTCTCAACTGTTGTCAGAATGCAGGCTCCCAGCTCCTAAGATGCAGAAGCCCAAGGGTTCAGAACCACAGGATCGACGGGACTTCAGCTCTGCGATAGAATAAGGTCTTCAGAGTCAGTGGGGTCCCTTGGGATATGGCTACGGTGGCAGGGCACTGAAGGCCCATCCTAACTGGCATCGCTTGGGCCTCCCAGCCCCACTGAGTCCTGCTGTTGGGGACAGGGGTGAGACACTATACTTGGGCAAATGGCCACTTAGGTGACATATGACGTATTGGGGGAGCTGGGTCCCTGAGAAGGGGGTGGCTAAGAACACACAGCAGGTCAAGCAGGTCTCTTATCCTCTGGTGCATCCTGCTTCTACTGCTTCACGTCCCTTTCTAAGTCCCACCTCTCCCTATTGCCCTTCCTTGGGATCACAGGGCACGCAGAGACCATCTTCAAATGGACCCTACCCTTCAGTCAGCTGGGAATCTGGTCTAGCAGAGTTTGTTAGGGGGTCGTTCTCCATCATAAAAGTCCCTCTGCCTTGGACCACAGTGGCCTCTGTGGGGTGTGTGTGTGTGTGTGTGTGTGTGTGTAGTGTGTAGGGGCAGGTAAGGAATTAATGGAGTCCCTTCTCCACTCCTGTCTGCCCTCAAAGGTGTACCAAGAGCTGGCACTGTTGTCCATCATGTAGGACTGGGGAAACAGACTCAACAGGTGGCCAAGGGCTGAGGGGCAGAATTGAGGGCAGTTGCCTGGTCTCAGCCCTCTTCTCCCCCCAGATCACTTGGCCAGGACCATGGAATCAGCCAGCCCTGCTTGGAAGCCCCTAACCATTGCGCACACCCCTGCTGCCCGCCAGGGGGACCAATCCAAGCTCCCAGTTCTGCAGCTGGCCAAGTCAGAGTCATGCCGCTTGGCACAGAGCGGAGACCCTGCTCCCACTAGCTGGCAGACAAAAAGTGGCAGTGGTCTCCAGGACAGTGCTTGGCCATTTTCAGCACACCTTCGCCCTGCTCGGCTCCACCAGGTCTAGGAAGCAGAGTTAATGATTATGCCCCCAGGATGGGGAAACTGAGGCCCAACAACTGGAAGCCTGGGAGCCCGGCGCGCCCACCTGTTGCGCTCCCTGCACCTGGCACATGGCACATGGCTCACGGCCTGAGAGGCCCCCCGGGGCCGGGCAGCGCGGACCCTGACACTCACCCTCGGCCATGGTCAGTCAGGCGACGGCGGTGGCTCCTGCGGTGGCGGGAAGGACCCTGCAAGCGCGGACCTGGCGGCGCTGTGGGCCGGCGCAACTTATAGCCCGCTGCGGGGCGGGCCGGCCGGGGCGGGGCGGGGCGGGGCGGCGGGAGGGGACGCGGCGGGGGAGGCCACCCGGCCGGCCACGGCTCACGCCGCCCGGGACAGAGCTCAAGGGAGGCGCGGAGAGCAGGGACGCCCCCTGGCGGACGGACGGAGCGCCGGGCTGCGGCGGCGTGGACCCAGGGAGACCTGGATAGACACACCTGGACAGGCAGACCAGGTGACAGAGGCACAGGGACACACACACACACACACACATTCAGACCAGACCCAGCGCATGAAGGAGGAACACACCGGAACACTTAAGTACACATGCATGGACCTGATCCAGAACCGAGAAGGGCACACACATGCCGAGGTACTGAGCAGACAGACAGACATACAGAGACAAGGATGTGGACAGAGGCACTCATGGACACTGATACACTCCAACAGAATCCATTAGACAAACTTGGATACCAGTGACAAGGATGCAAAATCAGATTAGAATCTCAGAGACCCACCATGATTAGACACAGACAGACACACAGATAGGTACCAACTAAGAGCCACACCCAGCCTCAGGTGAGCAGGTGTCTAGATGCACAGGTTCACAGACACACTGAAGACATGGACACAGGTACAGACATGCAGACACAGCCCATGGACAGACACAGCCTTGCTCCTCCCTGCAGTAGACCTATCTGACCTTCAGCCTTTCCATCCTTCCATCCCTCTGTCACTCATCCATCCCCCTTCCTCTCACCAGCCACCCATTCACTCACCACCCATCTCTCACTCATCTACCCACCTGCTATTTGTCCCTTCCTCCCTTTCCCTCTCTCTCGCCCCACATCTATCCACTAGCCTTCCTGGAGAGCCTACGTGCACCAGAAGGGACCAAAGCCAGCTCTCTGGGGACTCAGGCTGAGACCATGCACATCTGGCGCCCTGGGGAGCATATCAACTGTCCTGGTACCTCTGGTGCCAGTCTCCTCTGCTCCCTTACCCGCCATGAAGCCTGAGCAGAGAGGCTCCCTGGAGACACAGAGGCATGGGGGGCTTTTTCCAGAACAAGTTTTACTTTGCAGTACTGGGAATTGAACTCAGGGCCCTGAGCGCGACTGGCAAGAGCTCTACCACTTGAGCTGCACCCCAGCCCTTTTGTTTGTGTTTTGTTTTTTGTGATACTGTATCACTAACTTTGCCTGGGCTGGCCTTGAACTCCCACATAGTTGGGATTACAGGCATGTGCCAGCACGCCTCTGGTCAAATGGACTCTGCCTGGAGTCTTAGTAAACAGATCCAAAAAAATAGCCCTCAGGAAGGCCCTGGAATTGCCCATTTACAATGCAACAGGAACTGTTCCCTCAAGTGTGTGAGGCTGCAGGAGACAGCAAATAAGCAACCAGCAGTCAAGAGGCCAGGGTCCGAGTGAGCACCACTCGGCAGGTGTCTTGCCTCTCTAGGCCTCAGTTTCCTCAGCTTCACAGAATCCCTCAGTCAAAATGACCGAGACTGGGTGCCTCTGTGAACATGGTGAGCATGTGACACCTAGGGACTGGGGATCTTGGCACAGAAAAACTGAGGGTCCCAGCACCTGGCCCCAAGGGACAGGGACCTCCTGTAGGGACAGCCAGCTTTGCAGAAGGCAGACTGTATGTCTCCCCAAGGGAAAGGTGGAGTTTTCCATTTGAGGAGGAGTGTTCTTCTCACCTGGCGTTAATTTTCCTGTACAAACGTTAGCCTACTGGAGCTCCGAGAGGCCAAGAATCATGACAGGGTTCTCACTCTTCCTGCCAGCCCTGCCGGGGTTGACTGAAGGATGGTTGGTATGGCCACCAGTGGCATTCCTATTTCTGCAATGATCATCCACAGGCCTGGCCTTGCTCCACCTCACAAAGCCCTGGGTTTAAAGGCTGGCTTCAGCCCTGTGTAGACTTGGACATGCCTTGTGATTTCTGTGCCTCCATTTCCTCATCTGTAAAATGGGGGCAATCTTTGTGTTCACTTACAAGGTGTTGTGAGGATTGGGTGGGGTTATGCTTGGAGAGAATTTAGAGCAGTAGCCAGTAAACAGTAGGTGCTCAATGCGTGCTGGCTGTGAGAATTTCCTCAGTGTGAAACTGAGGCCTGTCCCTGACCTCACCAGCTGCCCCCTCTTCCTTCCTCCTCACTTTCCACAGAACTATGGCCAGGCAGGGCCTTGAGCAGCCCTGCGACAGAGACATCGGGGTCAGAGTTGGCGTCCCAGAAGGTGTCAGGCAGGGGCTAGAGTCTAGGCTGGACCCAGAGACCTAGATCCCAGTCCTGTGACCAGGGTCCCTTGCCCTATTTGAGGACTCAGGGAAACTGTAAGGCCAAGCAGGCCCTACCTTGTCTTACCTCAGTGGGGGAGTCAGGATTCAAAACTGTTTTAGTGAGGCCCAGAGTGAGATCGTGGGCTCAATCCCTGGACGGTGTCATTCCCCTTGTAGGGGGTGTGCCGTGTGACAGGGTAGGAGGGTGCTGAGATCACTGTCTACTGTGTGACCCTAGGTGAGTCACTAGGCCTCTCTGAGCTCCAGTTTTCCCTCTATGAACTGGAACAGTGAACGTCCACTCATGGGGACGAGAGATAATGTTTGTCCAGTGCTGGGCGCAGAGTAAATGCTTATTGATTGCTTCCTAAAACTTCCTTCCGATGCTGCCTTCAAGAGTCCAGCCTCTACTCCCCATGACGGGGAGGCCTGTGTAGACAGTGAGACTGTTTGGTGGGGCGCTCAGCAGGGCTCCCTGCCTCCCAGAGAAGCCCCAGTCACTGGTGTGTGACCCCAGGATTCAGGAGGTTCCGTCTCGTTCTTCCATAAGGATTTTCAGGTCTCATGATAGAGACGAAGAGGAGATTATAGAAACGGAGCAGCGTTGCCAGCCAGGCGTTTCGTCTAAACCTCACGAGAGGATTTTTATCTTGTGAAATGAGGAAACAGGCTCCGAGAGGAGAAGTGATTTACGCAGGGTTGCAAAGATTAGCTCAAAGAGCTGTGATCACTGTTCATTTATTCCGAGAGCAGGCTGTCTCCATCTGCACCCAAGGGGAGCCCTTGGGGGCCTGGGTCATATCCAGTCCTATAGCCCTTCAGGGCTGCGGTCTGTGATGTGAAATGTACAGTGACACTCCATAAATGTTTGTGGCATGAGAGAGGGAGGGATGAATTAGAAACAGGAAGATTAAGGTTCAGAGAGGTTGGGAAACCTGCCAGAGGTCACACAGCATGACCAGGCTGCCAGGCCTTGGTTCAGCTCAGCCATTCCCAAAGGATGAGGCCCCCCAGGCCAGAGATGACCCTGGAGGGGGAGGGGAGGGTAGCAATGGGTGAGACCAGAGTTTTTCTACAAGCTGGTGACTAACAGGAAGAACAGCGGCTGGCTGGAGAGGCTGAGGCCTGTAGAGCTGACTCCTCTGAGGTAGGATGGAGCATGGTAGCCATTAGCAGAGGGACACGGGGAGAATGTTAGGGGCAGGTCCTTTGGGAGGGTGGTGTGTCCAGGCTGGAGGGCAGAGACCGGGGTGTCTAATGGGGAGGTCTCCAGTGTGTCCACCCTGCAGGTGGAGAAATGACCTGGTCATCGTGCCTGCAGTTGTGTCCCCACTCCATGTCACCCATAGGTGACCCCTTCACTGGTCACACAGACTGTCTCTCTCTGTGTCTATGAAGGTGGGAACCATGTCTGGGACCTACAGGACAGGGGCAGAGATGGGAGAAGACGTGTGGCCAGGGGGCCTTCTGAGGTGTCTGCGCTCACTCCCCTCCCTCCTGGGGCACAGCTGAGCTGTGAGGCCTGGCACCGGAAGCCCTGGAGGGCCGACCCCACCCTCCCACCCCCACCCCGTGCAACCTCCCAGCCACACCCAGCGCTCACTTGTTCCATTGTATCTCCCTCCTCCTCCTGTGCTCAAGCTGTACCTTTCCTGCCCCCAGGCCCTTCCCCCCTCCTTCCTGCCTCTCCCAGCTATAAGCCACATAGAGGTCCCTTCTGCCCCCACAAAGAGCCTACCCAGAACCCACAAGACATAGTCACTGTCTCCCTTGTGGAAGGACAACTTATCAGTCTCTGTCTTCCCCCACCCACTTGGTTCTCCGTGGTTGCTCAATGAATGTTTGTTGAATGAATAAATGACCCAGGCCAGACTCTGGGATTAGCCTGGGAGCTTTTTTGGACAGGATTTGAGTTGCCAGTTGTCCTGGTCAGGCTACTGACCTCTTTCAACCCTATTACAACAGAGATGAGAGGTCTGGGCCCAGTGTGCCTTCCACTCCCATCTACAGTTCCAGGATGGGCACTGGGACATGAAGAGGGACAGACCTGAGTCTGGGGGTGTTTGGGTAACAGAATAGGAAGGCCCTCTCGTGAGATTCACATAGGGCAAACAGCTTTACCCAGGTCACACAGAAGACAGCGCATCGTTAGGGCAGGGCCTCCAAACACTGTAGAAAAGTAAGCAGGACTTGACATTTGAGAAGCTACTCTCCTTGGATTTGCCAGGGGTCCTGCATTGCAACAGGGAGCCGGGCAGGAGAGGCTGGGACAGTGGTACCTGTGGTCAGTGACTGGCAGGGGCCAGCCTGGGCCCACAGCTCCTGGCACCACCCAGTTCCTACCTTGACCTTCTACCTTGCCCCTCCCCCAGCCTGCTGAACTCCTGGGCACTCAGAGAGCAAGGAGCCTGCCTGGGGAGCAGGAGTTGACCCTGTTGCTGTCACCACTGAGTGGCACACAGCAATTTTTAACTGGCATACCATGTTTGCACACATTTATGGAGTATAGTGAAATTTCAGCACAAGTGTGGTGAAATGATGAGATGATCGAATCAGGGTGACTGGTGGATCTGTCACCTCCGACACTTACCACTTCTTTGTGTTGGGAACACTCAAATTCCTCTGCACTAGTCGTTTAGAAATGACAACCGCAGTCATTCCACTGTGCTTTGGGTCACTAGCACTTATTCCTCCTGCCCCACT